AGCAGTGTATCTTAGAATCATTTATGGGGGAGGTGCAACAATGGGATGCTTCCTCTTTGCCAGTTTTGTCAAAATTGGGCCTCTTTAAGAGGAGTGGACTCAACCTCCCAAAATCCCCCGGCCACAAGGGCTGGCTGGGGAATTCTGGGAGTTGAAGTCCACTCATCTTAAAGTGGCCAAGTTTGGACAACACTGGCATAGAGGAAGCATCCCATTGTTGCACCTCCCCCATAAATGATTCTAAGATACACTGCTGCTAAAGCTGGATGTTCTATTTAGACCACGTTGGGGGCAACGGGGTTTTTTTTTTTTTTTTAATCATAATGAGCATTACTTGCTTTAGTGGGCTTTGTAGATAGTTGGGCACGTGTGTGTCTGTGTGTGTAATTTTGCTTAGGATGCAGAGAGGGGCCAAGTATTAAATGCTATGGGGCCCACGAAATGGTTGTAAGATACAGATTGCGCTCTCCCGCCAACAACGTTTTAGGGCTTTGTTTTGAGTTGTTTTATCGGCTTTTAATGGTTTTGTTGTTCTGCGGACTTGTTTATACAGTATTTGCTTCTTGTTCCTTATGAGGTTGATTGCGCGAGCTGCCCAGAGTCACTTATAAATTGAACAAATACAGAAATAAATAAATCCGATCCTTCTCCCCCGAGTGTTTTTAATGACCTTTCCGGCAGTTGTAGCTTCCGCGCTCTGCTGCGTGTAATTGGTTTCAAGGTTAGAGGGTTTTCTGCTTGGTTTGTTAAACATGGTTTTTAAACCCTAAAAGATCGAGTGGGGACGGGATGGGTGTCTATTAGGGTTGTAAAACCAAGGGGTTATGAATGAGTTGGCTCGGGCTGTGAAATCATCTAGTAAAAAGGTGAAGCCAATTTACTAGATCTCCCCATTTCCATCTTCCCCAAAGGACTGACGGGGTGGAAAAGATCTTTTTTAAACAAAGAGCAAAATCAAAGAATGCAGGAAGGGAAGGAGCGATGCTGGCTGGGGGATTCTGGGAGTTGAAGTCCACACGTCTTAAAGGCGATGAGGTTGAGAAACGCCACCGCAGAGAGTCGCGTGGTGCCCACCTTACTGGCCGCTAAGAAACACCGCTCTTTCCCCAGGCCTTGGGTCAGGATAATAGGGGTGGTAGTGACTGTTTTATGGGTAGGAAGGAGAGAGTTGGCTGTTCCCCCCTCCCCATGATGTGAACGGTTCAGGTTTCATGTTGATTTTCACCATTTAAGCCACCCAGAGCCATCGGAAAGGGGCAGTCTGGAAATTTGGAAATGGAAATAAATACGCTTTCCCCTCGCTCTTCCCCAGGAACTGAAGAAGTGGCTGTTGGAGAACTTCACGGGGAAGTGACCCTGAGATGCCAGAACGTGTCTCCCCAAGCATCTATGGTGGAATGGTTTCACGGCGAGCCCGGCGCAATTCCCATTCTCTTCTCCTCGGAGGGCAAGCTGCCTTCGGACACCCGCTTCTCACTGGTGGGGAACAGCTCCTTACACATTTCAGGAGTGCGTTTGCAGGACGAAGGCAACTACGTGTGCCGGGAGATGCTGGCTGAGACCAACCATACACACAGGGTCCAGTTACTGGTGGCCAGTAAGTCTTCCTCCATCCCGTTTAAAGAGGTGGTTGGGATGCTCAGCAAATATGGCAGGGCAGTATAGAGACCAGTGTTTGTCAACCTTGGCAACTTGAAGATGTGTGGACTTCAGCTCCCAGAAGCTTGGCCACTTTAAGATGAGTGGACTTCAACTTCCAGAATTCCCCAGC